TATCATTACCCAGGAGTGCATTACGTTGTCTTGAGGTTTAAGCAGCAATTTGAATGGCCTTGCATTTGATGATGTTGCTACCGGTACCACGGTTGGCAGTTAGTATGCATGCAAAACTTAGTCTCAAAAGCATACTCTCTGCTCCTTGAGTGAGGGATCTGCAGAACAGAGGCCCTATTTTGCAGTAAGGCTATGTACAACTCCTTTGATACTTGACTACTTAATGCCATTGTCTTGGCCAGAGTGCAGAGGGAAGGAGTTCATAGCAGCGACAATTATTTCATTTCTGCAGCATTTGAGTTGGATGTGGAATTTTATGCATCTACATGTTCGTATTTGAGGAAGTCGAAATGTCTCCTCTATAAACTTAGCTCAGAACGCCCCACTTACTATCCGATCGTATTCCTTATTCCTTCCCTGCTACCATAAGGAATGAGAAATGTTGCCAAACATTTTGCAAACAGCTTAACCGAGAAAAAGAGAAGTTCTACTATATTTTCAACTTAAAAGCGTGATAAATTTTAGTTGATTCACTTGTTTTTTAGGAGATTTCTCTAGTGTCTAGCAAATCTAGCTTTCAAAAAAGTGGTCCCCATCAAGTGGTCACATGGGTGATGGCTCAATTTAAACGAGGTGTATACCTTCGCGTTTTGGCGGCATGCCGTCTAGCCCGTCTCATTGACATAGCAGTCGCAAAAAGGCAGGAACTGCAGAATCGAACAGAGCTTCACACCTGTCCTCCACCTACCAGGATCTGCAACAGGCCTTCAGATCCTCCCGATCAGCAGCAATCGCAATAAATTGAGCATTCAGAAAAATATAGGCCCCAATTGCCCGTTTGCGTGCTTTTTACCTCAACAAGGCCATGGGCCTACGAAGGTGGAGGATAAGATACAAGAAAGCTCATGTTGTCTCATTCTGAACTCTAGAGCGATCGAATCCTTGTTTAACTCATGGGCTTTACTGAGACATTGTTTTGAGTATATACTTTCTATTCCAAATTCTTGTGTTTACGGATATTGGAAAACGAATATTTATGACTAATCTAAAGAGCAAGAAGATGAGCTTGACCTGTCATGCTAGAAAAGGCGCAGATGATATCTGCAACTCTCTTTTCATCGTTGTGGTTAATACTAGAACCAGTCAATGCCAACTCTGCTGTTCTCATGGGTGACAGTGAAATTGGGCCGAACGAAAGCCGTCAAACGCACGGCTGACATGAGCGAGGTCAAGACAATTTGGCAATAACCCAGACGCATGCCGCCTCGCCTTCAGGAGGAAGCGCAGTGTTTGATCAATGAGATGCTGTCCCAAGTCCCCATGGGCATCGCCCATTGCCTTAATGGAGAAGAGACTCAGTGCAATAACAAAGAAAGACGTATTTCCCTTGCCCCACATAAATGGCTCTTTAGACCCGTTAGAACCGGGTGTTTCTACTCAATGGACTCAGAACGACCTTTAAGAGTTTCAGACAACGTAATTTGGACTCTGCAACTCAGCACCTACGTTCAGACACCTAATGCAAAAGGTACTACGAGGATTTTTTTCTGAGCACTATATCATCTACATGGACGATGTTCTCACTCTCGGTAGAGATGCCCGAGAGCACAACACCAACTTCCTTTTGGTCTTGGATTACTTTCGAAAGGTTGGACTGACGGTGAATCCGTAGAAGTGTTGTTCTCATCGGAGCTCAGTCACCTTGGAACATATGATCTCAGCCTACGGAATGGCGGTCACCAAAAACCGAACGAAGCAGGTAAGGACGTGGCCATATCCTACTAATCAAACAGAACTCCAAGGCTTCTTCAGTGTGACAAACTTATACCGTCGTTTCGTCGATTATTCGCTACAATTGCAGGTCTGATCTACAACTCAACGGATAAAGAACAAGCCCAAAAGGAGGTTCGATGAGAGAATGAACAAATGGAGGCGTTTAAGGAACTGGAACGGCTCTCTACGCGGCCCCAATACCAGTTCCACTTAACTTCGAATCCAATGCGACACCTTTAGCGCTGATTTCAGAGCACAGGAGAGAACATGTGATCACGTCCAAGCAAAGCGATGAGACAGAAGAGTGCAACAGAACGAGAACTGTTAGCCATCATGGCTAAGTGGTACGAACTTTAACCGTAAGACTTCGTAGTGCAGTATAGGAAAGGAAGCTCCCATAGCAAAGCAGACGCTCTATCACAGAGATACACTCAAGGCCCTTGTGTATGCAAGGCTGAGGGCTAAGGTGATGAATGCTCAACTGAAGTGGCAGAACTGGGGAGAACTCTCCATAAAAGAAGACGTCCTTTGGTACAAATGTCCAGTAATCCCTGGTGATGAAGCTACGCGAGCAACTGGGACATGTGAACGAAAAGAAAATTGTAGAGGAACTGAGGGAGATATTGATACCCTCTGCTTATCTCTGATGTCAAATTTTCGTCAAATATGTGCCACATACATCAGCTTCAATTACAATTACAGCTTACAATTTGTGCCAGCAGGATATCCAGTGGAATGTAGGCATCGGCATCATTGGTTTGTTTGCTGCAATTGAGGGAGAAAATCGATGCATTCTGGTAATGGTCGACAAAAATAAAATAGGCAAAGCCTTAAAATCGCGGGATGTTGGGACAGTAGTAATGGCGCTAAGCGCCCATTGGATCTGCTAACACCGTTTACCGAAATCGGCCTATAACAATCAAGACCCCAATTTGAAAGCTGGATTTTGGCGCAACTGCGCATGGCTCCAGGACATCCGTAAGGAAGTAGGCAAATGGAAAGGACAAGTCGCACACTGGTGGAACTCCTGAAGGCCTTTACCGAAGGTGTTAAACCCGAGGACTGGGATCCATATTTTGAACACGTCCTCCTCACATACTGCTCAACAGCTCGACCCTCAACTCAAGTCTTCTTTCAAAGTGGTCACCGGTTGCAAAATAAGGATTTCCGCCTGCAGCTCCCTTCCCAAAAAGAGCACGACAAATAGCGCACCATAGTGTGTTATGGGACTAAAGGAAGAGCTTCGTAAAGTGTTTAATGCGGCATGAAACAGCTACAGAAGAAGGCGATTTTGTCCAGGCATACAAGCCAAACCCTCCGCCAGGAACGAATCGGAACCGTGATCCCTACCGTGAAGTCAAGATTCCTTTACCCACGAACTACTTAGTTCGAAAAGTCGAGCGTCGTGCCTTTCCAATGACGGTCCACCACAACGAGCTTCGTCCTTGCATCGAAAACCTCCAGTAGGCTACGAGAATGAGGTATGTTCAGTTGCGGAGGTAAAGATCCTCACAAACGACTTGACTTACAGTTCACTGGTCTACACTTAAGACGGTATTCAGAAGAGAATGGGTACCATGTAATACATATTGGTTGTTTCACTTGTTTTGTAGGAGACAGGCACGAAGGCAGTTGGAACGGTGTGCAAGTGTGCGGGACTCTTCTCGAACTAGCCTGGGCACTCGAGGTGTACGTCCGCCCCGTATGCTTGTACTTACATAGGAACCGCAAATAAGTCATTGTCAAATCATCCTCCTTCTAAGAAGGCTGAGATGAGGGATGAAGATGGTGGGGAGAAAGGCGTAACCGAATAAAAATTGATTGGCAAAAATTTTCCATAAAGCGATTGAAACTTTTCATTGATTTCTTAAGGATATGTTGATGAGTTTATTGGAAGACTATGTGTGATGATCTTAAGCAAAAAGAAAACCATTCATCTCCAGCTAACTTGAGACCCACTGAAGAAACAGATAGGACGCATAGCTGGATTCTTTAGTCCAACTTTTTGGTGACTGCTCTTTCTGCAGTTGTTAGCTCTTTGTCTCGTGCTGCGGTCTGTAATTTACCAAAATGATCATCAGGGCAGATGTGTATTAAGGCTGATTCTAAAAGAAATGGAAAATTATAATACTGGAAAAAACATAAAGCGGAAAAGCATTTTAATCAGCAAATCCCATGGCTAAATAGTAGAGGGTATTTTTACGTGGCCTCCCCACAATCAGCCACTAACCGATATCATGCTCGCACCCGAAATCCTCAAAGAAATTTCTGAATGTCAGTGGTGTTTTGAAGTAGAATCATATTTACCTTAAAACTAAATCCAAGACAGCCGACTTCTGGAAGCAAATTCCAATCATTTGAAAGATAAGTAACAGGAATGAAAGGTAAAATGTCCCTCACTTCATTATACGAAACGATTAAGGGTGTACGCAAACCCTCCAAGCCGTTCGTATTTATTGCCTAATTTCCCAAGATCTAAATCTATGAAATAGAGCTACAAAACACTGTCTGGCCTTCTTGAATTAGGTAAGCCTAACTTTCAGGTACCACAAATCACCGAAGGATCATAAAACATTTAGTGCCCTTTATTTGCAAAGACCACGCTTGGACTCCAGATATATGCGTTAGCCTGCGTGACCTATACAGATGCAGTTCCAGCCTCACTCCAACAAAGGCAGTTACAAGACCCTCTATTTTGATTTACACCACCTTCCTTTCAGACCACGATACGATAAACAAAGAGGAGACATGAAAGAAGTTCACTAGTTGTTAAACCCTTACACCTCCTGGAAAATCCCTTTCACATTGCACCCATTTAATACAAAACCAACCTACTTCTTTATTCAACTGGTCCGAAGGGTGATTATACACATTCAGGGGGAGAGGATTTGGGAAGTCCAATTCGTGAATGAGTGTGCGTGCATGTACGCCTAAATATTCTGATGATTCAGTAATAACTGCTCTTTTTTCTTGTCTTGATCTCCTCCTTGTTCTTCTTTTGTCAGACACTGGGATGCAAGGAGATGCATAAATCTCAGTGTTCCAACGCTCTCTACATTTAATATCTATAAAAATAGCATTGGCATGGGGAGAAAGAGAATAAGTAACTGTTGTTTTCTTTTACAGAAAATCCATTCGGTTGCATACATACTCATTGAAAGACCTAAATACGGATTCTATAAAGGAGAGCTCATACCAGAGCAAAGAAGTTAACCAAAGCAGCGGGGTCAATTAGCTTGGTGAGAATCGCCTAGGGAAGAGGTCAAATACGTGGTCTCAGTTTCTGTTCTAATTAGAGGATGCCGTGGAGCCATAAGATTGTCACCATCATCTCTCCTACCGTTGCACCTAATCGCCCGAAGAGAACTTGGATGGTGTCCATCATTTGGACAACTATTGACAATGATCGGAAGTACCTTTTTGGTCCGATTTGGAATTGGAACAGCGCAGTTGATGCGAGCCAAGGGATTCTCGATGATAGAATCGAGGGCGGGTAGTTTTCGTCGTGCTGAACTACCCCCACCGGGAAGAATCCGATGCGAACGAAGAACGGGGATGGCAAGTTGAGAACGCGATGCCTTCTGCCCTCCATAAATCAACATATGATGCTCTCTTGGCTTACGTATGGGAGGAAGACGTCGAGAAACATGATCAACGCGGACTGTGGGGAGTCTTCGCTTCGGACAATCACTAGAATGGAGGTCAGGAGACAAAGTCGGAGAGGAGCTGGAGGAGGGCAGAGACGAGAAACGATTATAAGGGGGGAATACTGGTTTCTTCGATAGAGATGAGGCCTCTATAGAAGCAGGTTTGCCTTCACGCTTGGAGATCTGGTCAGCCGTATCTATAAGCTCGCGCCGGAATTCGCCTTCAGCAAGTTTGCGATCAAGTTCGTCGAAGATTTCCATAGGATCTCTGCTTCTCTCCCGTTCGTTCTCTTTGATTCGACCTGAAAGGAGGATGGAGATCCGAAAAGCACAGTTGTAGCACTGTCTGTATTCCACCTAGAACGAAAAAATTACTAAAGTAAGCAAAAATAGTACTTCAACACATCATTCAGCATAAAAATATTTGCAAGGATTTGGTCTAGGTAACGTCGATGGTGAATCTATTTGTGGCAAGTTAAAAGATGGCAACCAGTTGATTAGTAAAACCAAAACCTACTCATCCTTAGCCACTTGATTTAAAAGAAACATTATGCAAGGTAATTAGAATTCAGCAACCCTGTCCATAAAGAAGCACTGAATGCTCTGTGTAGAGGGCACTCGAATTTGAGAAGACTTATTCTTCTTCTGTAACTTTTCCATTACACAAGGGTCCCAACAGTTTCGCTCGTTCGTATGAAACCGAACAGCATACTGAAAGTCCTCCCTTTGTCTTCAGACTAGTGGTAAGCATAAATGAATCTCCGGACAATTTAAAGTTTGGGTACAAAACCAAAATGCTATTGTATCATAGATTAGCAGCACATAAGAACGGTATTAACGAAACCGCCTTATCAAGCATAATTTAAAAATCCTCAGGAGGAACACTTAAGTTCTAGTAAGCTTCATTCGTTCTTTTTTTGTTTTAATTTCACATCAACGCGTAAGGAGTGAATACAAACCGGCAACTTGACTAAAGGAGCAATGGAGAAATCCACTGCTCGTCATATGATTAAATTTTGGCTCAGCGAACAAAGTCATGAAGATGGTGTAGAAGTCCTCAAAAGTAAAATTAAAAGAGTAAACAACAGTGGCCCTCCGAGTACCTCTCTATGAGGTTTTAAATACACAAGTGAAGATTTACCAAGTCGTTGACCAGCTGGGGACGGTTTTGCTTTACGACTTCAACAGCACGAAACACGTCCACCTCGGATTGAGCCAAGATTCGCTCCATACAGGTACTCACTGCACAAAAGACACCTACACGCGACACGCCGTCACTGTCAAAGAAGAAAGATGCGTTTACGGCAATAAATGCTTGAAATTCCGGGCCTCAACGCACGCTAGTAAAGCGGTACGCGTGCACAATTTCAGCCCTACAAATGCGGGTTCAATCACACGCACACGCACACGCACACACACACACACACTTGTCAGGGGAACGCGGTGGCACAAAAAAATTACTACGACAGGATTATTAAATTTGAAACATTACTTGTTTGGCAAACCTTTTGTTTTGGTAATGAGTTCCTTATGGACTCCTGCGACTCATGTCCCAGATTTTGCAAGACAATTACTACTACAGCATCAAGTACGACAACTATCAGCCTTGACCACCCAGTTCAATGAACACCCCTTTTATTACAAGTGCATGCGAAACCAGTAAAGTAGGGGCATTCATTCAGTAATTTGCTGGCTTCTATAAGTGTGCAACATCCACTGCGTTATTTTATTACAGAGTATTACAGAGGAGCACTTTTACTAGGCCACTTCTATTTTGAAGATATTTCCATGTGCCAATGCTTCCAAAAACGGCGGCCATTGTTGCTTAGGCTTTTCCAGACACCGTAAGTTCTGTCAAAGGACGGATTATTCACCTACTTGCTAACAACCAAAATTGGACTATTGACATCAGTAATGGAGTTCCACTCTCTAGCAAGGTAGGCCATTTGGACAATGATGTCACAGGCTGTCGCGTCCGTTGAAGACATCGGCCACTTCTTTGTATTCAGGAGAATGACATCTCTGCTGATATTATAGTTGCGATTTGGCATAAACTAAAAAGAAGCAGAGAAACAGCAAGGAATAGTAGTAAAATGAGTACATTTCTGATGGATGACAAATTCGAGATTCGCAAACAAGTTGCCCACAAAACATCCTCATTTCTGAAAATGCAGATTGTCCTATAGATCCAAAAGACCTTAACGAATTGCTTAAATGACTCTTCAAAACTTGTGCATGTATGCAGTTTATAACCCCATGCGAAACGCTACAATGAAATTTGTTAAAAAATTAGTTTATTGTAAGGACTAGATCATCCACATTAGGTGGTAAATCAGTTTTCCACATGCGCTCTTTGGTGAAAGCTTGCCGCAAGTGATTAGAGAGCAGGCTAACTCCATTACTCCTTATCAAGTGAAACGCCAAGTAAATGTGAGTAATGCGTACTAGATAGTTTTCATTGAATCATTTTTGACCAGCTCGCATCAATACATGTTAAAGGGAAGCTGAAAATTGTTTGTACGTGTGTCATTATGCTGGAGGATGATTAAAAGTCTAGCATTACTTCCATCCTCCCTACTCCGCCACATACCGGATTAAAGGCCGACGTGCCGCGTTTTTTGATGGAGAGTAGGAAGGCACTAGGCACTACTTCTGTTTCCTCATAAACTTCGCGCAACTCCAATCCAATGGGACCGAATCGAGTTGATTGGTTTGCTGTCTTTATTGTGGGCCAGAAAATGGGATATTTCTGCTAAAAATGGTTTAAAAATTAAACCGAATCAGCCGTGTTTGTCCACAATCTTTTTAAAGAACGTATATCAAACTCCAATGTTTATTTTCGATTAATCTAAGAAACGTATTTTAACAGCGGAAATAGGCGTTTAAGGGCGAGCAATTTCTTGCACTCAAAAATGCATTGCTGATGTTTAGCCGTCAAGCTACAGCCTGCAATTGTTTTACTTCGCATCAAGATCTAATTGACGAGGGACAGAGTTGGTGATGAGTAGCGAGGGAAGTAGACCAATCGAAGTAAACGGATTTCATGGTTCGTTTTCCCATGGCTTTCTTTTATCCCTCACAACCAGAGCGCAGAATACAAGCCGTTATCCATCACTGATTTCGATCGAAAGAAGGGTGATTGCTAGGCTAGGTACGATGCAAAAATAGTGAACCTTTCCTATACAAGCTATGAAAAACCACTACTAAATAAGGTTTTCGTGAAGTAAAAAAAAACAGCTGTTTGTTCCAGAACAAATTCTTTACATTTCATAATGTTTAATGCTTAAGTCCGCAAAAAGTTGTTGCAATGTGATTCAAATCTTTTGGAGGCGCTTTTACTTCCCTAAAGTTTATCCAGTTGTTAAGAGCAATGCAGGACTGAAATTTGTTTTGATCCGTTATCCACCAAACTTTTACGACAGATGTAGCTCATAACAGCAAAAAAAGACTTATACCAAATCCGTCTAGTCGACTGGTTACAATGTGGCTTGAAGAAATGTGCAGTTTAGTTAAAGGAACTTACGTCACCAAACGCATAAGAATTGAGCAATGCAATGGCTGAAACCTGGAAATCAACCACCAGGCACCAAAAGTCACTGAGTGTTGACACGAGAGGCCACTGGGTAACGATGTATTGATTCTTCGCTCGATAACCCTAGGGGGCACAAGTGCAGATTCACCCCGCATCGATAGCCTCCACAAACTTTACTGCCCGTTTTTACAGGTAAAGTCCCTTTCCTGCCTTCTTGCAGAGACAATTTTCATTACAAGTTTTGTCAAAGTCACGGCTAGATGAAAACCACTACCTATCAAAATAACTACATTTGATTTCTCAGAATAAATAATTAATTAGGAACTAGCGTTCCCGTCTTTTTACTTTACTCAAAGGGATTAAAAAGTATCATCAGCCACGCCTTGCTCCAGTCGGATTGAGATCTTAATGCGAATTTTCTTATTTTTTAAAACCCCAAAATGACTTGACAAACAAAATGCCAATCAAATGCGAATTTGCACATAAAAACGAGGGGTCGGATGCGCCTTACTTCAGCAGGCAAGAATACTTACGTCTACGAAGACGGCATTGATATAATCATTTGCGTCTCCACTGTCTTGCGTGGTGAGGTAGGGTCGGGCTCGTTCAGCTGAATTAGCAACACACAACGCTTTATGTCTTTTTTGCTTAACAGATTCAGTGAAGGTTAGGAATTTACAACTCGAAAATTCGGGCATAAAACATTAATTACGAGATTAAACCAGAGTTACTATTAGCTACATACATTGAAGCCAAATGGGCTTAGTGAAAACATTAAATCCAATTAGTTCAAAGAATATTAACATTTTCAATTCAAGAATTTACAACTGACACCCTATGCTACTTACTAACAGTTAGTTAAGACAACGTTACTTTGCTCAGCTAGGATCGTCCTGGTTTAGCTAAAGTGTGCATCCTAAAAACAGCGACCTAATAAAACAAAATCTCTCGCATCTCCTTTCACTCTCTTACTTTTGTGGATGCAGGCACTATTTCGCCTCCAATAGTTCAATGCATTCAGAAGGAAAATGAAGCAGGGCCTATAATGCTGTCTACTGAGGGCGTCCTCCTGGGCCCATGCTACGCACGGCGACAAAATATATTTTTGAATCAGCATCGTTTATCAGATAAATTTTAGTTGCCCGAAACGAATGAAATGGACTTCACAACAGGCATCCAAGTCCTATGCACAGATCAGATCATACAAATCCTCGGTCTAAAATCCATGGTAGAATTTCGAAAAAAATAATAAAATGGATATTGTCATCCTTAAAGCCACCATCAATAATTTTCCTTCTGTAATATTTTTATTGCAATACCTCTATTGTTTACGCATTTTAGACGACGGATAATTTCAGAGCCACATTGCTTTACCTCTATCATTTTTGCAGCCCCCACAACCTTTTGTGTGTGGAAAACACATTCTGCCAAGGTTTTATTTCTTCACTCATCCTCAGATCAACCCTGCATCATCATCCAAAGTGTGGTGGGGACCCGCCAACCCAATGAGAAAATCACAAATTTAAACTCACGATATTAAATATGTTGGTCGGAGCTTATTATTAAACAATCAGAAGCTATTTACCAATTTTTCATGGCAGGAACTCAAAAGACGCAGCTATAATTTTGCAGATGCTCGCTAGAAACGGTGAGATAAATAGATCAATGGTTTAGGAAAGTTGTTTGCCATTTCTCGGTTAGAAGCACCTGAAATAAAGTTAGTTATATATAGTAGGTTTCCAGAGTCAAAATAGTAATTTTCTCTCACAATAGACCGTTAGCCATAGTCTTGGGGTTGATAGTGTTCCGACTTTAGGTGTACCTTGCATTTAACTATGATAAATGAAGCAAAAGACGGTCTTAGGTCTGTGTGTCAAGTACAATCAACGTAGGTTAAGTTGCTTAAGAATGACAAATTGGGATGCATTACTCCGTTCAGTTAGAGTAGAATAGAAGCATGCGAAAAGGATCGGCAATGGTTCCACCTTTTGAACCAATCACAAATGTTTTAGTTGGTAACGGAACTTAATTATGTTGTGTGCATGATAAACAGAAACAATAGAGTACTCACGGGGTTGAATGAGAACGTTTCGACTTTTTCGCCGATTTTCTATGCGATGACCTCCTGCGCACTCACCGACGGTCAGAGGTTTAACCAGACGATTTATCAGCTGTCATAATTAAGGAAATAGGCATGAAAACGGATCGGAAAGCTTGCCTTGACAATCGCATCTGCCGACGAGTAAAGTCATCAATATGAAAAACCCGAGCCCAATTTCGCTAACTTATCTACCAAAAAGTTTAGCATGTTGAGATAACGCCAATTACCATCAAGGAAGGGTAGGGCAGACAGAGCTGAGCCATGGCGGATTAATTTTACAATGAAATGACCTTTACTCAGTGTTTACTCCTCGTATGCATTGAAGCTTTACCGGCCCACCCACTCACTCACCCGTGCAACTTGTATTAGTCCGCTTGCTGTCAAAAAATGCAACGAATCCTTTGTTGTTGCAGTGCATATGCTCATGTATCTATACGTACATAATTGAAGGCGTATTTGTGCTTCATAACCTAATTTTGGGGAATGTCTTTCGATCTCCAAAGTTGGGGCTCACAGCACCAAGCAAAGAGTCGTTCAACACCAGCCTTTCTTGCTGAAATTAGCAGCGCTTGCCCTATGAGTGTTTTCCAAAGTTTTGTATGCGAAGGTTCCCTTAATGCTAAAGCACCTAATTAGTTTCGTTAGTTCGGTGAAAGTGCTCACTACCCTTTGTTTGGTTTGCAAATGTAAGCAGTCCTAACCAAACTAAAAAAAGAAAATCTAAAATAGACAATGGTATTCTATTTATGGTAGGTGAGGCTCCCGAATGCAATTCAAGGCACCACTGCTACACTTATATACTTGACAAAGCTGTAATGATAGTGGTATTTTATGGGGACCTGATGCTTGTCAAAATGCGCCTCGTCTCCGCCCTGACTCTATGGGCTCCTAGCCCTTCTGCACCTTAGCGATAAGCAACTCTTACAGTTGTGGAGTGAGTTATATTGGTAGCAACGTTAAACAAATTCTATCAAAGTGATGGCGCAAAAGATGTCACGTGGGAGAAAAGATTTCACGAATGAATGAAAGTAAAAGGCGACGATTATTTTAAACGACCTCTAAATTAGTCTCTTCTATGAAAAATCACTGTTGAGCAGGGGTTATATTTCACGAAATGGGATGCAGATCAGACTCGCCTACCGTTTTATAGGGTCTAAACGAGGAGATCTGTGCATGCGAATTTATTTTTCGTCGAGTTGTCCTTCTTACAGGAACTTTTTAGTTAAACTCTTTAATGACTTTCAGCGATGGTGTTTTGAAGCCTCTCTGTAAGCCCTTACACTTAAGGCACTTCGGTGACAGCAAATTTGGAGTTGCCGAAAGTGGTGTAACCACTTGCAAAATTTAGACTGAGACATTTGAATCCAGTTTTCACTTTATTTTGTAGCTTACTAAGTGCAGAGAAGTGAAGAGTTCAGTAGCAAAGGATCGAACACCATGTCGAAAGGCGAATTTAAAGGCTATTTGCGTTGCCGCACTAACGAATGTGCTAAGCGCACACTACAAATTATGTACGGGTTTTTAAATTCACCAACAAAATTATTTCTTTGCCGGATCTTAGCCATTCTTCCCAGCGGCTTAACTTCTCTGCGATGAGCCTTATTTGTCTGAAGGACTTAATTAATTACAAAAATTTTTATCAAGCTAGAAAGAGGGTAGCAGGTTTTATCCGAAGTGGCAGTTTTTTTCAGACAAGGGATAAAATCCTCCTGCTTCCTTCTCCATCGTTATATCGCCTTATCATTTAATAAAGTAATGCAACATTTTGCGACAAATAAGAGAGAATCGTGTTACTTGAATAATTAATGCTTTCACAATGGCCTTGACTGCAGCACTTCGAGGAAATTACAAATAACCAAAAAGTTCTTTAAAAAAGGGGTAGTTATGCACTGTGCTAAAACTTTTTCCAGCTCATGGCTTGGTAACGCACCGCTTAAGGCTTCCCCACCCGCAACTCCAGCAGTAGATATCTCTGAAGCTCTCTTAATGACTCCAAGCACTAAGGTGCTCCTGGAAGTCTAAGGATTCAGCAGCAGAAGGAAGTGATTTCTTCCTCAAAGGAATATTATCATAGCATCTACGGTTAGGTGATTAGTCTTCAGGTAGAAGGCGACGAGTAGTACTTTAGAAAGGAGAAACCGTGTGGAGTTTTGTTGGGAAAGTAGAAAGCGATATCTACTTGCCGGAACTGTCCAATTTCCGTGTTTTGTTGGAACGCTATTAATAGCTGGAACTGAAAAGCCTCATTTTTGCACATCTGCAAAATATCGTTACAGGACTACTCATAGGAGCTTTGTAAGGGTGCAATATTTTATCTCCCCACAAACTGGTTAAAACGAAAATAGATGTGGCTAAACAATGCTTAAGTAGCAAGGAGGACCTGACGGGAACAATTAATATCACAGCACTCTATTAAGCCCCCACCGATGGGCATCTGAAATGGTCAGCACATTCCCCTTTTCCTCCGCTACATTCCTTACATTGGCTCAAAGTTCAAATTCAGTGGAATTCACGAGAGGAATGCATTAAGCTGAGGTGACTTAGCTTCTCATCTGCACGCCAGTTCGAGGGCTAGTGCAGTTAAGTCTTGGATGTTCGCCATGCAGAACCAGTTGAGTTATGATGGTTGGTACGCAAGGTTGACCAGGAGCAGCGCCAGGAGCGACCCTCAAAACTATTATTGTTGAAATCACGATTATAATGCCGGACCAAATATGAGCTTTGTCTTATTGTGTTGTATTGTAGGCGCCACATGTACTGCTGCTTTCTTAGCAAAAAAACTTGTCAAACATTTTTATATTGCGTTTGATGGGGACGCTAAATGGATGAAATGAAGCCATAATATCCATAAACACCGGATTAAAAGTGTCCATTTTGCATACCCAACAAGCTTTTCACTAGTGAGTTGGCATTCAAAGACAGATTTTTCACGTTTCTTTATGCCAATACGACGTTTGAAGGTGAAGTTGAAAGATTGGCCTTCACACACAAAAATAATTTAGTCTCTCACTTTCCCACCATGGAAGGAGATAAGACGCATGCCATTAATAATAAACTCGCCAACGTCGCATTGACGAGCCATTCTTTAGGCATCGTTATGCATCAATCTGATTGACGTTGCAGAATGCCTTTAGTCTGCTCTCTGGATGGTGTTTGGTCATTTGTAACTATTAAATTTTCTTTTTAATTTCACTATAACTTCAATTTCTGACATAACAATTTTGAATTTTCTAATTCTATGCTCTTCATTGCTACCCTTTACTCACTCAGTTCCCGTATTATTTGCTTTCTTAATTTCTAACACTACACAAACGCATCTTTTTAAAGTTTTTCAGGATCTACTTTTCAGGAGACCAAAGCTATTCGATTTTAACAGATTACGAGTTTAACTAAAAGACTCATTTGGTGGCAAGCATACCATCAATTCAGCTTCATATTTTGAGGCACAATGTCCGATGCCGTAGCCGAATTCGGGTGGCTTTCGAAGCTGCTGTAGAACGTTCGGGAGACTTCCAAGGGGTATACTGGTCTCCCCACCGGATCGAACCCATTCGGAAAGAACAGTGTATATGAAGGCGTACTGCTCTACACTGTCAATCATCTGAGGTCGTGATGTAGCCACTTTTAACGCGTATTGTGCCAACGGAACAGTAGCACCGATCTCGTCCCTACGAATCACGTCAAGCAACTCATTTATGCATATGAAGGTGCCTGTCCGACCGGAGCCGTCACTAGAAAAGCAAATTAACGTTTATCTCAACGGGTTGTTGAGTTGTCGTCTTCTCTAAATAAACATTGCAAAAAATCAGGTTATACTTCTGCATGGCCTCATATATCCCTCACAAGAAGGTACCGTTCCGACTTTCCCTCACCACCAAAACCTTGAATTAATGAAGCTAATTATTTAATGCGTTAGGAAACTACTGCCTTGGTGGAAATCAGCCAAATTGCTAACTTTGCAGAAAATCCGGAAGGACATTCGGTCTAGATCACGTTTAGTTGCAGCCTGTATTATAACCTGAATAAGCAAATCAAATGCATCTGCCTTGAAGCGCAATAAAGTGTCCACCTCATTGCTAGCGGAAACCGAGTGTTTCGGACTTTTTATGCCAGCGACGCAAAAAAAGGAGTTGACAGTAAAAGACGTCAAACTGTGTGAAGCTACAAAACAATAACGTCCTCTTATCTAGTCCCTGGTATATCACTCAATGAGAGTGCTTTGGATGCTTCCTAAGGTGTAACACAGTCCAGTCCTAACACATTAGGACAGAGTTCAGTTTTCACATTACGAGATATTTTTACAAACCATCAGCCGATTCGGAGTTTGGGAAATGGCAAGGTTGGCTCATATCGAATGATTTGATCGAAACAAATCTTTAGGATAGTCAAATAGTGTTATGTTTTTGATGATAATGCTGGTCAGTATGGCAATTGCTTTCTTTTAAAACTGATTCCTCGAATTCTATTGCATTGCTCCAGTGCTGCTGCAGTGAGAAGTTTAGGGTGTAAGTTTACACCAATTTCTTGCTACATGAAAATTAGCCAAATTGAAAACTTTTAGAATGGCAAACATTACAAAGGATGTGGTGGTCTAAAATAACTTCACACTTAACACTTTGCTTTTGTTACTCAGACACTAAGGGACATAGTCAAAGGGGTAACAATCATCAATCACCAACGTCAATACATTTCCTGCTAATGTATTGTGATTTCTTCTGCCTTCAGCAAAACATTGGAATGCTACACTGATGTAGGAGACTGCAACTCGGATTTCGACTACTGAATGCAGAAAGTTAACATGTCGTAATGGAAGCAAATAGAGAGAATAGGAGATTCCTCAATTATTTTAACAGACAATTTTACCATAATATCAAGTCTTGACAAACACTCCAGTCGAGTCGTCTTAAGAAATGCTATTAATAATTGTTGAGTAAATAATCTGAAATGCTACTCACGGTAGTTGTACGAAGATGCCAATTAGGTGAACATACAATGCTTCCTTTCTCACCACTCTACTAGATGGCGGGAATAAGACAGCGCCAGACAGTGGAATAGGCGAAAACCTAGATCCTGTGGAAGCACACAAAACGCCGTTCTTGGTCAAATGGTTCTGCTTCTGACTTGGTGATGGTACAACTATTGACAAGCGCTCGAGATGACCAGCGCACCTTTTCTCCTTCATAACACCTTTCTAATAGGACAACCTCTGTTTACTATGATGCTATCAGGAGAGATTGGTGGTGTTAAGACCAAATATCTTCTCAGCATGCGCCATTTTGTTAACCAGTGAGGTTGATTCGTGGGCGTTTCGCTTTTGATACAATCTATCTTGTGGTGGCTGAGGCGGGAAGTTAACTAAGGGGATTACCCAGACGTCTTTCAAATAGAGAGGAGAGGCACGGAACAATTCGTTTGTTTAATAATGCATTTTAACTAAGCGGCTCCACCAATGCATTTCCGCCGGACAGCATGGTCCCAAGGGAATGAGAGCAACCTTTCAGCCCTTTTATACGCAGTCATTAAATTTTTCACTTTATTATTTTAACTCATTTTGCCTTCATGAGGCAGAGATACAATACAGCATTTTTCAGGATCATAGTGAAATTTAATGAAACTAAAAACGCTGTCAATAAAATCTCACTCTAACTGCTCTCTTCACCGCAGTAAACTGTGATAGGATTTGATCATATCCAATGGAATTTCACGAAAATAAATCCCCCTGAAATGTAAGTAGCAAATATATTTTGATATCTGCTTACTACATACCCAAATCAGAAAGGAAGTGTCTTAGCATTTCATGGAACAAAGTGGACACCTAAACCTCGAGCCAGCTGTGTCGGGTCACTTGCACACGAGACGTAGCAACAAGTCACCGTTTGTGGTCCTAGATGGATGCAGAGCCGTCAAACCACCCAGTCAATCGCCAACTTCATGTCATGTGCTGGAAGTGCGTTACAGTAAGTATGCGTGCTCTGTGATGGTACAATTGATGCGATGTCGAGTAATATTAAGTGCGCCTTTCCGCAAGGAGGAAGAAAGTGACCAAGTTTGGTTATCCCATTCTGTTATGGTTTCCTTTTTGACCTGATTTAAAAAAAACCTACAGAGGTGAAGGCAAAAGTCGTGTCAAAACAGGTTTAAGCCAAATGGCACAAAACAGTGCATAAGGGCAAAGCATGTGAATTTAACTTTATGATCCGAGTTAACATTCATTTTGGTCCCGCTTGCCATCGGAAAGGGAGTGACGTTTTTACAAGTGATGCCATAGAGTCTAACGATACATCTCGCCAAACAACCAAAAAAGTGATTTCCAAGAGGCGATTTCCTCTTAAGAGCATCTTTTTCATTTTCATTACATCGCAACAACAATCATAAAAATAATGGAGAAATAAAGTTAGACGTCTCACGCTTTTTGGAGAGATGAAATCTGTAGAGAAATGGTTTACACTGGCATTATTAATACTTTGAGTATCAAGTAAGAGCGATTGCATGTTGAAGGCAGCCCAAATCTGGTCGAAAGTTGTCCGTGTGAATTGTGAAATGCGCAAAGGATTTGAATGTGAACAAAAGGCTATTGGATCAACTCAGGTAAAACGAGGCACACCAGACGAAATGATTGTTGACAAGAAGCGATAAGCAGTCTTTCGCTTAAAACGCGTGGTACACAACACGAACGGGGCTCGTGCCCGTGTTGGATGATTGGACAGTGAAAATGAGGGAATTGTAGAAAGCAAATTTTCTCTAAGCACCTCTTTTGTCTTGTTTTAATTTCAAGTTAGTTGTTTAGCCATACCATGCCACTTGAGTCAAAAAACGCAGAATGTCACTATTTAATAGAGACAGTTGTCAAACCATTTCTACGTGTTTTGCATTAAATCGTTATATTTTATCCGCCATTCATGAGGTCACCTCCTGTAAATGCTATTTCCTAGCAACCATACCTGTGATATTTATCTACGAAAAGTACTTGTCCATTGCTGATCTACACTTGAAGAAGAATCAAAGTAGATTTCAGCCAAGTATGCTTCCTAGTTTGTTTTATTATTTGTGATAACTGCTAGCCGTCGTGTTGTATGGAGACTACATAACCCGACCGACATATTGTGCACTACATTTGGATGTTCACCTCTACTTTAGAGAATTCCTTTCATGAAATTCACCATTTATTTAGCTTAAAATCATTTTGAAATAAAACTTGTACTCCTGTCACTAACCTGGTGTAAGTGGAGCTGCAAAGAATGTAATGTCGGTATAAACATATTCCTTCGGCCCTAGGCTCCCATGCGTGGGTTTACATGGAGTAAGAGGTGGTTGGCCGGAACGGTAACATTCCCTCCGTTTTGCTTAGGTTTCGTTAGAAAGCAGTCCGATTTATGCAAGACACGCAACATGCAACTAGAATGACTCACGAGCAATGAACTACAATAGGTCCCTCCCTGCCCTGTCGCCATGCATACAACTTCGCGGTTAATTCAATAACGGCACCGATAAGAGGGAACCCATTTTTGTTCCAAGAATCCAGCTGGAATTGGCGAATTATCCGCTTTACTTCTGGTGCATCATTCTAAATTTAAAACACACGTTATGCGCTTCGTTGTATTCGAACAAAAAAATGTAGTTTTGGTTTTCCAATATGTGGCCTTTGAGCTTCCCATCTTGCTGTGCAGACAGCTGTCTATACCTGTGAATTCTCATCTTTAATGCAGACTAGGTGTTACAGCAGGACCTTGGACTGCTAACATTTTTACAACTGCCTCACCATTGGTAACTAATTAGTATTTCCAAAAGATGGGAATAGTGCTATATTGACGAAGAAAAGCATCAAAACGATTTTTTTTGTTACATCGACAAAGCTATTAAGAGGTGTTAAGATGGAAACCTGGTGGCAAGTGATTAAAACAAGGCCATGACTCTTAATATGTATTAGTCGGTAAATGCAAAGTCCCATCACGACGGAGATAAAAGTCATCTGTGCATTATCAGAATAATGACTAAATCATTTTATGGCATGTAACACAGTGCTAGAAGTTACGATCCTCTAGCGCGTCTGGCACTTAGCCTAATGCCTAGGCGAAGGTGGAACTTGAAGCCATAAAAAGATTGCAAGAGGTTTTGCGGAAATTGTTGCTTCCCAAATAAGGTGTGACATAATTTGGGATCTATCAAATGCTTAGAACTCCAATCTTATTTGCAATTTACGGGCCCATCAATAGATTAACCCTTTGTTATCCATTTTTCTCAATCCGTTGATGCCGTGTTTGCACTCTCAACGAGGAGGAACGATCTCCTCGCTATCTTAATAGGTCCCAACCTCAGCCTTTATGGACGTCATCTGTATATGTTCTGCCAAAGCACTGCATATTCTCCTACCTTCATGCACGTTTCGGATTGCCATAATTCAGACACTGCCATCTTAGAATAGTGTTGCATATTTTGAGTTAGTTGTTTTGAAAACATAAATCCATTGGCGGATTTGTGCAACCCTTACAATACCAAAAAATTAACTACCTTTAAGTCACAACGTAAATAAAATAAAGTGATGTAGTTACGAACTTAATAACAGTGCAAAATCATTTACCGTCAAGCCTTGTGCTTGGATTCACGAAAGCAGAGTGTAAAGGAGAGGCGCTTGTTCAGAACGCCTAGTGTTGACTTCATAGACGACTGACTCAGTGAGATAAATTATTTGTTTCAAAACAAGGGGGTCTGACGATGTGCCTCAAAATCGGCACTTTAAATATTCGCCGCCCACTTCAAACAAAGTTGGAGGTTTAATAAGCGATCTCTAGTTTTCGATGCAAATCACATTTGCCATCAAAATTTTACAATAGCATTGGCTGTGTCTTTCCATACAGCATTTTGGTTCACTTAATGCAGTGTATTACCACTTAGGCTCAGTGGGATTTACCTGGTATTTGTCAAAAAACTGACATGCTAAAGGACCTTTTGTAAGCTATAAACGGCTGACAGAGATTTTTACTACATAGTACGATAGCCAGAGGCTTCAGAAATGCAGACTTCACTTAACAAAATTGGAGAGCTGCTGCATTACGACCCGTCACTGCTATGAAGTCAAGTTTATCTTTGAAGCAGACAATTAAAATTCTGAGGATGATACTGCCCCGCATTGGCAATGCGGGCACTCGAGTCTGCGCCTTTACACTTTCGCTGGACGCCACTGCTTCTGGGTCGTGTTGGGAGTACTCAATCCATCCGTAAGCCGTCAAGACCTATTCTATTATTGCATCAGTCCTCCCCAGTTTTTCTGCGAAATCTCAGAAAGCAGCATCGACAGGCACGATAAATATAACCAATTTTGGATAAACCAGTTGTGCCACTACCCATTAAACTTACTGTTTAAACATACGGCTTGGGTGTCCAAGATAATCCTTGAACAATGGGCCGTGATTTATGTGCAGGTCATAGACCCTTTATTCAAAGGAAGAAACGAAAGAATTTGCCTGTTTTAACGAGGATTCTAGACGCACGCGACTCACCAGGGCTATAATTAAATAAATGAGATCTGTTGATCCACGCTTCTCACTTTTTGACTCGCTAGAAATAAAACTCTTCTTGGGTGATTCTCCAGTTTCCCCTCTTTTGCCGACATTTAACTCCAAATAGCAAGGAGTTAGGCACACCAACGGAAGTCAGCATTACAAATAATTGGGAGATAAAATTTCTGCCTTATTGATAACCAAACCTTTTATGAAATCGGCGAACTACGTTTGATAACAGAAAATTTGATTAGCTTGTAATTGTACAACTATTTCGATACTGAAAACGGCGTGTTGGCAGCAAAAGTTTTTTTAAAGCCTAACACAGCACAGCTAAAGTGCTAAAAGATTGCTATGGCTGCGCAAACTAAACACATCCGAGTAAAATTATTCAAGCAATTTGAGTGCTAGACTTCGTAACGTAAATAAAAATCTCGCGATTTATATGGATTCATAAGAATATCGAAAATTCAAAAACTCCCAATTGGTGAAATTCTTGGAGGGTTCAGTGAGTTGTCCAATGATTGAACGGAGGCGAAAGTAACGAGACCATGAACCATGCTTATTTGGAAGTAGAACGTGAACAATAATGATCGACTGTGACATTTTGTTTATATTATTCTTCTTTTTAGCTCCAAGGTCATCGGAGGTTCCACAAGTATGCATTCACTGGGCGAAATTGCCCTGAGTCGTCTTAGTAACCCTTCAGCTGTTATGCTTTCCAGCACTATCTTCCTCCGTCTTCTAGAAAGAGGAGGAGCGTCACACCAATGAAAAATTGTGCCTTTATGACTTTGAAAACCCTCTCTTTCCTTTTCTTCAAAGAAGGGACAATCTCGATCACGTACAATCCAAGTAATACATTTCGTCAATACTTTGATTTAAAAGTTACAACAAAGTTAAAAGGCTTTTTTCATTTGAGCAATGCATTCAGGCTACCAATCAATTAATTCTTATAGTGCATTAAACAGAGTGAAAGTACAACACATCTATTCTTTTTTAGACCACAATAAGGAGACGCTGTCAGTTAAGTCAATAGGATATCGGTGTGCTAACCTTGCATACGCGGAACTCTCGGATGGTATATTGAGCAGTACTGATGGCATCCCGACTTGTCACATTGATAGCCCCAAATGTACAACTGAAAGCAGGCCAGTAGCGCTCACATTGTTGCTAAGTGGGGATGAGAAGTAAATTTAAACCACTTTCCATAAGTTAGATGAAAACGAAATCGAATGATGCCACCGTAACTTCCCGGTCAGCACTGACCCATTTGTAAGGAACCGGAAGTTTATTGACTCCGGGCACGGAATATTAAGCTATCTTAGCACTCCTTCGTAAAATCTGACCGTCCCAATTAATTATGCATAAGACCGACGGGGACCGTAGAGCTAAAGAGTCGCCCTCCTGTAAAACTCTAAGCTTTCGAATTGAATAAATGCACCGTCCAATTGGCAGGAGCGTGTTTGTTAGTGAACTTGAATGTCAAACTAAACAAATTTACACATTTGTTGGTGATTTGTTATAGAATTGCGAAAGGTAAATTGAGGTTCACTGTTTGTTGAGAGTGGATCCGTCTGGTTTCTTAGCTGGGGACAAAGGTGGAGATAAGAGCTCTAAAACTGTAGCACCTCAACCTGTGGAGTCGCATACCTTGAAGGGTGAACAGTAAATAAGTATGGCAGGAAATGCTATTTATTATAGGAAATCATATTACTAAGAGTGATTACACAAATCACTTTCGGCCCCAGAAACAAAACATAATCTCACAAGAAAGGTGTTTAAGTTAAATTTGCACTTATTTTTTCAGTCACGAAAAGTCAACGATGATAAGCCTTTTCAAAGCAAAACGGTGAGCACCAAGGCGGTTCCATTATTGTTATTAGCGGCCGACCGGCACTCTGGTGGATGAGTCCAACACGAGTGGGCTAACTTACAGACAACAGTTGAAGTGTGTGTCCGAACCGGCCTGGTTGATTTTTGTGATTCAAGACGTACACTCCACACATCGGGCTATCACTAGGGCACTCTAGACCAAATGTTTGTGGTCAACGGGTATTCTGTTAAGTAGAGGTACAATCTCTGAATGCCTGTCAGCAATCAAGCAGCCTGAAGGACACACAAACCGTATAGTCACTTGTTTGGGAATTTTACAGGACACCAACACATCAGTCCCCTTCTAACAAGCACGGAAGAGTCAAATGCTTCACTAAGTTGAAGGGACGGTTCGACTAGACGGGTTTCATCATTGCGTGCAATTCAAAGTGAATACTTAAAGGCGTATATTTGGCTGTTGATGGCAAAATGAAACTGTTCTGAGACGGTTTATGTTAGCAGGAAAGAGCCACATAAAAGCGTAGGTATAGCAGGAGTATTTAGCGAAAAAGTAATGCCTTATATAACCGCCAACGGTTGCCTTATTTTAAAGTCAAAAGTTAAGACTTTTTTCAAATGTTAGAATGTTTCACTTTTCTCATATATTTTCAAGAAACCGTAGTCAAACAAGGGTCAAACCGAAGGCACTGCATGTGTCGTTCTAGTTTTGTGTTGTAAGCCTGAGTAATTCTGAACTCGTTTTGAAATCTGTCAACTATTCAGGACAGCGTGTAACCACTGAGTGACAGATCACCCGTCGAAAGAGAGACGTTTTACCACTTATATGTCGGAAACAATTACGGAAGATTATCTCAAGGTGAGTACACCAGGGAAAATAGTAAGTCCAGTCATGGATGCTAACGCCTTCACCGCTACTGTCTCAAGGGAAACTCGACTGTCACAGTCAACAAAAATAGACTTACTAATTACAATAGCACTACTTAGTGAAAAAAAATATAATTGCCCTCAGATCGGAAATGCGAAGCATCGTATTTGTCACAAAAACCAATTCGGTTCCTTTGCTGTGGTGATATTTGTTTGTTTTGGTAAATATCGCTCTGAGATTCACCACTTCGCATAGTTGGGTATTTATGAAAGTTAAGAAGAAGAGTGGTAGCGGTTCCGGGTCCATGGACATCATTTGTCACTAAAGCACAACAAATTTTCCTTTTCTGTGAAGTTTGGACCAAAGTGATTGGATCGGTCACTTTTTGAACGGTATCATGCTGGTAACGTTGTAGCTCGTGTAATCTGGACACTACATGATCCGCTTTAGAATTATGCCATCCTTTGCCTTCTTTAAAGTCACTAGGCTCTCTCCTGATGCCAGCAGAAAGCAGGTGCAATCCCGAAGGACAAACATTCCGACTTATGCGGCGAACTCTTAAGCGGGAGCGCGATAAAGGGAAAGGCATCTGCTAAAAAGATAGAATGCCAAAATGTGGCGTTTGCTTTCGTCAACCACGCAAGGCCACTCCAGCCACAAACCAACTGGAAAGCTTCTTCTTGCAATTGCAAAATGATGCAAATTAAAGGAACATGGAATTTCTTCTTTTTCCTTTTCCTTGTCCTCTCTACCATCTGAGTAACACTCAAATTGGTAGCAGCTATTTGTAGACGCTGTGACAAGGAGGATCAGACGTTACATTTTATAGAGCTTCTCTCTCAATAGTTACTGCTTTGAGGTCGATGTTTAAGCCATCCGCAATGAGCCTTTGAGGTAGTCCGCATACTCCTTCCTCTGCAAG